ATCAGGAAGAAGCAGTATGAGAAGCTGGAGAAGTACCAGGGCCTGAAGGAAGAACTAGAGAAGATGTGGAAAGTGAAGGCCAAAGTGATCCCAGTGGTGGTAGGAGCACTGTGGCTCCTAAGCTGGGAGAGTGGCTCCAACAGATCCCAGGAACAATATCAGAGCTCTCTGTCCAGAAGAGTGCAGTGCTAGGAACAGCTGAGATATTGCACAGAACCCTCAAACTCCCAGGCCTCTGATAGAGGACCTGAGATTGAGGAAGACACATACCCCATAGGGGTGAGACAGGGTTTTTTTTTTTTAATGTTTTTGTTTTCTCACACAAAGACATTTCTAAATATTTTTTTCTGGAAGTGTACTGAATGGGTGATGGTGGTGGTGGTACTAAAAAACAAGAACCAAAGTGCGTAATTCAAAGACAAACAAAACCCCAAAGATAACTGCGTGGGTTTCTATCCATTAATCAAGAGAGTAGGGAGCAGGCTGATTTCTTTGAAAGGTGGGCCAAAGGAAATCCTCTGTACCCCTGGCTGAAGCATAGCCTGGTGTCATGATTCTGCTAAGAGGCCTTGTCCTTTAGCCTTATAACTCAAGTAAGTAGAGAGGTTTCGAATCAGGGCACTTCTGGTGACATCTTGATTTTTCCATGGAAGAGGGGTCTGACATTTGTACTTTGAGCAAGAAGCATTCAGCTGCTTTCCTTAGCCCCTTGCTTGAACCCACAAAAGCAAATTCACCTTTTCAAAGTTCAGGTCACGCTTCCTGGGTACATCCAGCGCTGGGAAAAGGTCCCCAATGAGTCCCATGAACACAGGTAAGTCATCGGTCACAATCTTGGGTATGTTAAAGTCTCGCAAAGCTCTCATGAGGACCTGGTCTTCAGCTCGGCCTGGATCTCCTCTCTTCAGGGACCCCGCCACCACTAGCACAGACTTGATAGCTCTCAGCCCCCAGTCATAGTGATCCTGTCAGACAGGAAGTGCAATTAGAACTCCAGGTGAATAAAAGGCCTTAAGTAAGGCGCAAGACACCACCCACTTCCTAATGTGAGGAAAGGGCTGGGCTTCCTAGACGTGGCTACCTTAGCAAAGATATCCACTGTTATCAGAGGGAAATGGCCTTTCCCAAACCACAAGACTTTAAATCAGCCTTTCCCATCAAGGGTACTGTATATGTTCTTGAACCACAACTCCCATCTCCCTCACTGTGCTGAACAGGGATGATGGGAATTGTAATCCAAGTACATCTATAGTGCATCTGATTGGGGAAGACCCCTTCAGGCTGCTTTGGCCTACCCAGGTGATGGTCAGCTGCATTCATCATGGGCATATTCCAGTTATTGAAATCTGTACTTTCTTGCAGTATTATCGGGACTTTGGGAAACAACATATAATGGGAAACCTAGAGATAAAATTTAATGAGTTATATTACTGAAATAAGTTCAGAAATCTCTGCCAATTCTTTCCCACCAGGTTTTTGTTGCTTTGAAATATCTGGCGCCGTTGCAGACCTGTGGAACCACATTCAATTACCTGCTTGGAGAGTAGCTCCTTACATAGTGTGTAGAGAGTAATAAACTTCCTGGCCAGAAGCCTAGCTTCAATAAAACCTTCAGCAACAAGCATGATTTCACAGATAAGCTCAAAATCAGGCACAACCATGGCACAGGGCCTACAAGAGAACATGGGAAAAAATGAGCATCTGGACTGGTTACACTGCAGAAGCAACAGCGTGTCTTCCCATTTGGCTGCAGTGAACAATCACTGCAAATGCCAGATGCAATTCAGTTTCAAATGCCTGTATTAGAAAAACTTCACCTGCTATAAAAAGCTGAAAATGTTAAGTACCCATTGTCTGATGTGTAAGTGACAGCTTTCTCATATAGTGCTATTTTATGCAAAGAAGTAATTTTGAATATGACATGACCAAAAGGTGTGATATAAATTTTCATAATAAATGGACATTGGTTGTACTTATTTGAAAGTGTCTTTCAGGGTACCCGGTCCATATACTACTTCAAAGATTCTTTCTTGGCTGGTGACATATTTGGAAATTTAAAAGCTTCCCATTGAGTGCCCTTGGGGGGACCTTTTCCCATTAGGGGCTGCCAAAGGAGGTATGAGCTACCTTAAATATCCATTTTCTTGAAGACAAACAGATGAAGTTGCTTTCCAGTCCCTACTTTAGACACCCCAACTGTTTTTGATCACTTCCAGTTTAAGGTAAAGTCTCCTTCAAGTCAAATTCAGCTCCTGGTGATTTTATGGACATGAATATGGACATGTTCTTATAGTGGCAACATTACAGAAATAGTTTGTCATTGCCTTCTTCTGTGAGATATATGCTCAGATTAGTCTATAGCCTAGGTATTCCTTGGAGGTCTCTCATCCAGGTACTGACTGGGCCCAACCCCACTTAGCTTCAAAGCCCAAGCAAACGTAGCCATCTGAATTTCTATATTCTGATGACTGGTCTTCCTTTTGGGTCAATTCCCTGTGTTGAACCTTTTATTTATTCAAGCCACCCAGCCTCACCTCACGTCCTCTGAGTGTTGCCTGCATGTTAATACCTGAATAAAGCTTTCAGATTTTCAGGCAGTTCAGTACGACCTGCATACCCAGGATTCATAGTAATAAACATTCCAACAGTGGGTATAAGAGAGATAATCTCTCCAAGAAAGTTGAATGTCTTCTTCTTGGCTCGAATTGCATCTTGAACACATTTAACCTAACAATGAACAGAAGGTCCTTTTATTTATACACAGGTGGCTGCATTTGGATAATGAAGTACAGTGTACAAATATTTACATATAAATGTATAGCAGTTTAAGCACTTGGAGCAGATCAAACCTAAGATATGTTGGATGGACAGTAAACCAAGTAATAACTGCACACTCAAGCTCACACATACATTTCCCGGGACATCTTATAGTAAACTAGGCATGACTAAAATAGTACTTCTACATTTGATGAAAGCTTTTTTGCAAGTTGAAAAGTACCAATTTTTAAAGCACTGTTGTAGGGTTCAGCTATAAACAGCAAACTGTTCATTGTTAAGAATGAGAACAGGAAGCATTCCCTTACTGTGAGGTGGCTTCTGGATACTCTCATATTATCCAGTCAAATGGGCTCTATAGTGTGGTTCTGACACCATCTCACTGACTGCCTGGTTCTAGGCAGTCTCAGATAAAACATCCAGCAGTCAAAGAAAGGGGAAAAAGGGAGGTTTGGGGAACACTTTGGATTTTTTGAAAGCAACATGTTGCAAACATTCATTGGGGGCTCATAATCAACATCTGAGACAATCAGTAGCTACTACAGATTATCATAATACTACACTGATATTAAACTTCTTCCAATTATTTATGATAGGCAACTTGATGTTTCAGGCAGGGAGTAGTTATAGCTTAATTGTAGTTAAAAAGGAAATCCCATTCCAGGCAGACTCCATTGTAACCATTAAGATTTCTGATATAATGCTGCCTGTAGGGCTCCAAAAATCCAGACCATCAGTAGATGGCAGCAGTGAGGCACATAAAGCTCCATTTGCTGTTATCCAGTGCTTATCTGGACCTTGCAGTCCAAGTCTGGTAGCTCTAGCTTATAGAAGCTGCAAGGATATTGTAGAAGATGGACAGTATCTTCTTGCCATAAGCTTTCTATAGCAGTCCCATTTCAGTCTCACAGAAGAGAATAAACATCAATATGGAGATAGGGGCAGATCTGGCATTGTGTTTTTCTTTTCTGGCAATAAAGATGGGCACTTATGTAAAGGAATGGAGGCAAAGGGGGCAATTGCTGCTGAATTTATATATGGGTCTTGCTCCTATAGTGATAAACTCCATAGTGAGTTGCGTGGTGACAAATTTGAAATATAAATAAATAAATAAACAATGCTCTATAAGTAATCAGACACGTAAGGAGGTCTCAAAGGAATTTCCTGACCCCAGTTCAGATCAGGGTTGCATCCACTAGCTCCTCAGAAGAGGTGCTGCAATCCAGTCAAGATTTCGACAAACTGAAAGGAAGTGGATCTTTTTTGCCAGCTGCCAGTTCTACTTCCCATCTGCACTGGAGCGTTCCCTGGTTCTCCAGATTGCATTTTCAAAGAGCTTGTGCAGAGGCTTCTTTCTGCTTGCTGGAGCATTTTATCTGCAGAATTCCATTTACAGGATGTTTGGATCCAATCCATTATTCCCATACAATTGTATTATCCATACAAGTCTTTCATTGTGTGATTGCCCTCTGATCATTCACAGAATTTTACATGGAGTCCTGAACATTTTATTCTTCAGGGCAGCCTCCCACCACCACTTCCATCTTTTCTGTCATCAGAACATAAAAAAGATGGACTAGCTGCCCCAGATTTCTTTAGGAACACCCACAGAATAGACATTTGACTGCAATCATCAAGCTGAAATCACCTCCCCTGCCCCCAGTTATTTACACACAACAGCCCCAGACCCTTCCTCATGGAGAATATTTACCTGTACAGCAATTACTGACAGGACTTCCACTGAAATCCGATTGAATTCATCAAAGCATCCCCAGGCCCCGGTTTGGGCCAGCCCTTTGTAGATATTTCCACAAGACTAGAGAGGAAAAAAATTGTTCAGAATGTAGAACCCTTTTTTTTTTTTTTTTTGGTGGGGGAGAGTGTCCTTTAATTGCAGTTGTCTTTATTTTATACACAGTAAAAATAATATGGGTCACATAGCCTTGTTCGTGGATGGAGATAGCCCACTATGAATATTTCCAACTTGTTCCACATGGTTCTCAGTGGGATGATGTGACATTTCTATGAACAAGCCCCATCTAGGGCAAGCACGTATGGAAAGTGACTAATTTGGGAGAGATTGCAAATACCCCTACAAGGTTTATCCCAGGCCCCAAGCACCCTAGGGCCCGCCTTACCCCCTCATTTCAAATTAAAGGTGAAGTCATGGATTGGTCACAAGGCCACCTTCTGGGATTCCAATCTGAAAGGAGGTGCATTATTTTGGAAGGGAATGCATTGTAAGGGGAGATACTGCAGTCATCACTAATTTTTGACAGGCAATAGTACTGTCCTTAGTACTCATAGACCACAGGAAGTAGGTAATGTAACTTGGGAAAGGATATTTTTTTTAAAAAAGAAACTGTTGTAAAAATGAGCAGCCTGTTCTTTTCTGGGATGTTTTCAGTATTATAATTAGTGCTGGAAACAATGCAGATGGAAAATGCTTATTTTGCTGCATGAAACTTGGGAAAACACACATTGCTTTAAAGATAACACAATCTTTGCATAACCCACAAAATCCTGTGTACATCTCATTGTGGCTCTCAATGAATGTCTCTCTCATACTCTTCTTTGGACTTGCTTTTCTAAGTGATTTGCATATGACTCAAATTTGCTAGAGGGAAGTACTTGTTGAATTGAATTGAATCAAAGAAGTGTTGTTTAAGTATTAACTAGAACAGCAGCAGGAGACCTTCCAGGTCAAAAGATGTTCTCTTGACCCATATTTCATTTCACCCACTGGATCGCTACCTTATAGTCCATTTGCTCAGAGCAGTTGAAGACATACACCATGATTCCTACAGCTCTGCCCAAGTCCTTGGTGGTCTCAGTTTTTCCTGTGCCTGCAGGGCCTGCAGGGGCTCCTCCCATGATTAAGTGGAGGGACTGGGTCAGGGTGATATAGCAACTGCAAAACACAGGGATTGGGCACATTATCTCAGGCCCGAGAAATCAGGCTAAGCCAGGCTCAAAGTTCTCAAAGTGGGCTAGCTCGTACCGGTCAGTGAGCGGGGTGATCACCAGACGAGGAGTGTTGCCAAGGTACTCATAGGAATACTGCAGTTGAGCATCACAGATGTTGGCATAGCAGTGCCTCTTTTCTTCATCCCAACGGTGCCTAAGTTGGGACTGCCACGTAAATGCCTGAGAGCTCTCCACCTGCCACAAAACAAGTGCAATTTAGTTCTGAATAGGGAATGCATTCACCGTAATTTCTCCTTTCCACTTTATGAACATTATAAGCTTCTTAAATAAAGGAGGTTCCCTCGTTATGGATGAGTGTTAATCTTTTTGCCTTTAGCAAGATCTAGGTGGTCTTCCAGGTTCCTCCATTGTTCCATCCAGCTGGAGGCTTGCTAGGTTTGCAATATTATTTTTAACAATGCTCCTTCTAAAGGTTAAAGATAAATCTTAGTGTTCTTTTGTCAGGCAACCGACTACGTGAATGATAAAAACCTTTCATGCATCTAATTTTCAAGTATATATTTTTCAATCATATAAGTTAATGCAATGAAGAGGAACATCTATTCAGGACTGCTCATGCTGTAGCAGGTCTGTTTGCCCTGTGTCAATAAGCAAGAAGGCCTTATGTCATTGCCAGTGCAATAACTCTTCTCAGAGTACAGACCATTAAAGCTTTGTGGTAAAACTACCAGACTCTTGTCCCCTAAAAGACCCACTAACAGAAGTGCACTTCATTTCATATTTAGAACAGTCACAATTGCCCTGCACATTTCCCCATGATTCTTCTCAGGATTCCTTAGTGACAAAAATAGAATACATTAGAGCAGATCGTGTTCATACCATCTGCTAACTAAATCGTTTTGTAGTGGTATTATTGGCCTAACCTCTTTGCTCATTTGTTTTTTCATGGTGGATGTATTAAATGGTAACTCCCAAATGTTCCAGATATGGTCAATGGGGATTATGAAAATTTTAATCCACTGTATCTGAAGTGCACCAGGCTGGGGGAGGCTGGTTCATGCAATTCATCTTTCAACCTTAAATTAAGAGATTTAAGGATGAATGAACAGAGCAAAATGTTTGCTCAAACACGTCCATGAACAAAACATTGCACAGTCTTTAGTTCACAATATACCTTTGCTAAAATCATTTTGGCAATGACATCTCTGGCATGTACATCAATAGTACAAATGGTCATAATCTTCATTCTGTCCCCTGGAGTTAAGTTCCCAATGAGCAGTGTAATTAAGGTGTTCAACTGGTTAATCTGTGAAAAGGAAAAGAGAAGAGATGAAAGGTTTTTCTGATCTCTTTAAGCATGAGCTGTGGAAACTTGTTTGACATGCATATGTACACACACAGTCTCACAGAGAGAAAAAGGTTGCCAGGATGCCCCATTCAGTAATATGGGCAGACTCTGCAATGTAAGTGGAAAGAAAAAAAAAATTCTGTGTCTGCATCAAAACATTTGTCATTACAAACACCAATGTTTTGGAGACAGATGAAATGAGAGACCTCTTCTCACCTGTTTCTTATTGTAATCTTTAATTGCATTTTCATAGCCTTCTTCCAGTCGTGAAAACGCAATACCAACTTCTGTAGTCCACCAGATCTGGGTACACGTTAAAGCAATCTGCCACAGACAAATGGTTGTATGAAATGTTGCAGTCTTGTGAGACACCAGAATCATCCACAGGCATTGCCCCTCAAGGAGGCATGAGTGATCAGGCTTTAAGCTTAATCTTACAAAAAGTGCTAAACTAACCCACATTTTGCTTCTTCTGTCTACCTTTGTATTTTGTTAGAATTTCAGCCAGTCTGGAGTAGGGGCTGAGGTGCTGGGCTAGAAGGCGGGAGACTGAATAAGGGCCCGCCCTTAGGCATGGAGACTGACTGGGTGACTTTGGGCCAATCACTCTCTCTCAGCCCAAACCAACTCACAGAGTTGTTGTGGGAAAAAGAGGAGGGGGGAGCATTAGGTATGTATGCTGCCTTGAGCTGACCCAAATTTTAGATGGAATAAAAATAAATGAACTTGTTTCAGTTCCTACTTCCTTTTTCATGCCTTACAGATCTTTTAACAGCAGTGTTCTTTGCTTACCTGGGCTGGGTAATCAAACAGCCATTGCTCTCTTGGCTTTTCCTCATAAGTCACTACAGCTTCAGCTATTTGTTGGCGCAAGGTGTTCTGCATTCTCTCCAACACTCGGTTTAACCAAACTTCAACCTGGAGGTAGACTTTCCAAATTAATTGTGGACGTGGTGGCACCTTGATATGCATCCCAATAAATGTCTGGGCTCTAGAGCTCTTCCCAGATCGTATTATATCACAAAATACATGTGTGTTTTTTACTGACTTGTATCATCTGCCCTACTGGCAGACTGGTGGGATACTGCTGCTGCTAACTCAAAATTAGTACACTATTATTACAAGGATGTTGCATTTTGCTGTTGCTAAAAAATATTTTTTTTCCTAAGCGCTCTGATGTTATCCTATACTATTTATTAGCCTCCTCTGATTCATAAATTGACAAGATAGTTCCTGCTGATAGGCTTTAATAAGAAAATAAAAATAAAGGTTTCAGAAAATATCCACTTGAAAGTTCTAAGGGACTACAAATGTGAAATTGCTGATCTTCTAACAGAAAACCTCTCTCTAAATTGGCATCAATCCTTTTGGTCTGGAAAAAGTCCAGTGTAACTCTATTTTTAAAAAAAATAGGACTGATGGGATTAATTGAAGATTAATTAATTGTGGATGAACTGGTGGAAAATATGATTAAAGAAGATATAACCAAGCCTATAGTAGAAACATTACTACCGAGAACTAACACAGCACCCATGATATTAATCTTTTGTCGCTAGTTTTCTACACTTTTTGAGAGAGAGTTAGCAAATGTAGATAAAGTGATCTAACTGATCTTGTATATTTGGATTTTCAGGAAGCCCCTCACTAAAATCTTATGAGTAAACTCAACTGCCATTGGTCTCATTGACTAATAATTAGTTAGAGAACAGAAAGCAGGGATTAAGAATAAATGGATTTTTTTTTGTCAAATAAATGTAATCTTATGCCAAGAGTTTTACTGGCACTGATGTTTTTAAACTAGCCAGAACTCCTGCTAGGTAATATAAACCACCTGGTGCTCCTTGCATCTGAAGATGCAAGAGTTTTCAAAGGTTATACTCTCAGGATGTCTCCTTCAGCTCATTACAGAGCAGCTTAAATTCATCTTTAGCTGTTCTGGTGTTAAAGGAGCACTTTATGCCTTCTTCCATCACAAGCTTTGCCATAGAAGTAATCTACAATGCCTCATTATGATGTTGGTGATAAGATGGCCAAGAGCTGAGGTCTGCCCAGCTCCCTGTTAGCCACTGAAGGTATTGCAGATATGTCACCTCTTCATTGCCCTCCACAGGTATGTTGGCTTGGGCTGCAAGAGAGACTGGATACCTGGCTTCTGCAGGGGAATCTGCCTATATAATGTCTAACCAGTATTTCAGGAAGCACCATTCAGAAATTATATGGACATCATACATACATACATACATATATGGGGTTTGGCCCCTTCTGGAAGAGTACTAGACTGGCCTGCTAAAAAAAATGGACTGACACTTAAAAAAACAGGAGATAGAGCCAGTTTCTGCCAATTGAATATTGCTGGTTCTTCAACCAATGCTCTGCTACTTCTGCCTATAAGGGGTTTTGCATGGCCACATTTCTTAGTGTCTTAATTCTTTTGGCAGTGGAGGATGTAATTTTGCTGGCTGTCACTCACTGTCAGCTATTCCCTGACAGCATTATTTCATTTGGGATTTATGGGAGCAGGGTTGATACTGGCAAGAGTTCTCCTATTTTCCCTTAGGTAAAAAACAGATCATAGGTGCAGTGGAGAGATGAGAAACAGAGGAACACAGGCTTAGCACTCTTCCAGGGAAGTGCCAGACATCCATTCAGAGACAGTGAGTGACAGATCACCACTCTGGAATTCTGCCAGGGCCAGTAACCTGCCAACTGGGCATCCTGAGGGGTGCTGAAGCCTCCATGAAAGGCACTTGCCTACAATCAACCAAGCCTGCTCCATTATACAGTAAGAAGAGTGATTGGTGATAGTTTTTCCCGTTAGCAGGTAATACTGCTGTGAGAGGAAATTCAGGCAGGGGAATCTGCCATTCAGTGCCTTTTAGTTGCCCCACATTGAAACTGTAAGGTCGGTATGCTCAGTAGCCTAATCCCTGAGTAGAACATTGTCCAGCAGCTGGGAGCACAACTGACCTTGGGATATTTTTCTACTGACTTAAGGACTGGAGGAATGCTGCATTTAAAATGATTTATAACTAACCTGACCAGAGCAGTCGCAGTCCTTGTCAAAATCAACATACTCATCTTCTTTGCTGTACATTCCCAAGCCAATCTTCAGAGGCTTTCCTTCTGCATCTAGCCTGAATTTCAGCTTTGCCATACTATCAAATAATTTGGACAGATGGCGGGACACCTTCAAGAATTACAACACAAAGGACCACACAGTAGTATTAGAGGTCTGATGAAGACATCAGCAGTTCTTTAACCTGACCATCACCGTTGAAAGCATGAAGTAAATATGCATTCGTCAATTGAACAAGGGTGTCTAATCTGAAAACATCACTCAAGTCTGTGCAACTGATCCATTCAGGTATTTTTCCTCTGTGGCATAGCTGTTTGATCCCAGTGAGAGAAGGGTCTTTTTATCAGCTGTTAAGTGAGATTTTAAATTGGATTTTCAAACGTTAAACCATAGGCTTCATTGGTCTACACCCCACTCCCCAATTGTTACCCAATCACAGAAATCCTGTTCAGTTTCAGTTAATCTGTGACATTAGCATGGGATACATGAATTTTTATGTGGGAAAGAGAACTTAGACAAACTTCTGAGATTCTAAGTTCCATTACAAGTTCCAAAAGAAAAGCAAGGCATTCCATTGCAAGGCATTCCATCATACCTCAACAGGGTCGTTGCCATTGGACAAAATATCCAGCAGGTCTGCAGAGGATACAAAATAAAATCTGGGGAAAGCCAGTCTTTTGGTTTCCAGATATTCAGCCAAAGCTTTTTCGCAGAGTGCCAAACTAAAAAGTAAGCAAGAAGAAAGTAGCAACAGCATTCTTTTTGCTCTTTTTATGATGATGATAATGATGATGATGATGATGATGATGATGATGATGATGATGATGATGATGATTCAGTGCTATAGATGTACATTGATGTAGACTTTAAAGCACAGGACTTTACCTTTCTGGGGGGTCAATGCCAGAAGTGTAGTTTGAGTCCCCCCAAACATTTAATCCATTGAAACATGGTTCTTTTCTGTATATCTATATTTTCCCACTTTTTTTCTATTCACCACTGTACTTCCTCTTCCTGACCTATACGGCAGTCTCCTTCTTTACTAGGCATAGTAATTGGCTTCATCTCTACTTTGGTTTTTCTTGGGGAGGTGGAGTATTGGCTGGGAACATTTTAGACTGGCACTGTGGCTTTTAACTGGGGGCCATTTTACTTTCTCAGGATGTCTCTGTTCCTTGTGAGGACTAGTAATAATCAGAGGGGCAAAGGGCAGGCCTGAAGCACTCCCAGGCACCTGATTATTTAAAAAAAATTATTACTGTTTTTAAACCTCAGCACAACACTTCCAAGGATACAAGGGTAGATGTGGGAGCAGTGGGGCCTTTGGGCATCACATGGTTTCCATTACTGCTTGTAGTGGGACTAGGCAACAAAACCAAAAATGTTAGCTTCTGAAAACCCCAAGGAAGCAGGGCAGAAAGTGAAAGCAGGGGGAATCTCCACCATGAATGAGCTGCTGTTAGAGATAAATATATCACCAAGGAGAACCTTCATATTGTTTGATGTCAATATGATAATTAATGTCTTTTGATGGAGATGGTTCAGAAATCACTCAATAGGGACAAGGGCATTAAGAAATGGACATGCATGTCTGAATTAGCCTCACTATAGGAATAGCACCTAACCCAGAAACAAAAGGTTGCTTGCAAATATGCCCCAGATGTCCTAGCAGAGGCTATGATAAGCCTGGTGATCAGGTTATGCTTTGTATACTATCTACTATTGTTCAGTTTAAAGAAATAATGAAATAATCTTCACTACCTAACACTGCAGCAATGCTTTTTATTGTTTGAGGCAACCTATGCATTAGTGCATTGGGACGACTACTCAAATAGATTACTCCTTGGCCACTGAAACTTAGTTCTCTCTGGATATCATTGCGACAGACAGTTATTTCCAAAAGATGCCCACGTAGAAAAGGCATCTGTCTCCAAGTCCTAGCTGAAGAATTTTAGTTACTCAGAGTGGTGGCCTAGCACCATTTAATGCTGCCATTAAAAAACAAGTAAACAGAAATTATAAATACTTGGCATTGACGAAATGGTGCTTTTTTTGGCCAAAACTTGGACTTGCAAGAACTCTCACCCTATGACTTGCTTCTGCTGCTAATAAACCATTTCTTCTGATCTATTTTACATTTCCATTTTGACAAAATTAGGCTCCTGACCTTTGCTGCAAAGCCTCCAACTTGTCATAGAGACCTGGTTTATTTGTTGCCTCAACCACATTTGGAGTTTTTACTGCATCAGCCATCAATTCCTGTTAAGAGGAAGAAGGATTTGTTAGCCATTCAAGTAGTATTTTTGCAATAGTACTGTAATAGATACAGTACTTAAAAGGAAGAGTTTGCTCACTTTAAAATCTTTGTCAATGATATCAAAGCGCTTTGAATCCTCAGGAAGCTGATTTCGAATGTCTTCTGAACCAATGAAAATGCTCTCCAGGTGACTCCATGTTCTCTGGACTTCAAACCAAATGGATATCACCGAGTCAGCAGTGGATAATTTCTGCTGCCAGCTGGAGACCTCCTGAAGGAAGTGGGCCAGATACTTAGAAGTCATCAGAGTCTGGAGCTGCACTTGATTTTCTTCAAGGGTTTCTACTAGTGCTTCATCTGACTTGAGCAGCATTGTTCCCGTCCGATGGTGAGGCTCATGTTCAAACTGCATAGTTGACCAGGTACTGTCAAGAGCCTTCAACACCTTCAGATAATAATAAAAAGGGAGAAACATCTTTAAAACTGATGTATTGCAAATACAGGTGAACTTACATGATTTTACTAAACCATACCAAAGCAAGACAACTTTATGACAACCTCCTCCCTTGCTTAGTGCACTCCTAATATGTTGATACTGTTGAAATGATGATGAATATCAACATATATTGAATATGCTGATATTCATAACACATCAGCTATGTTGGCCCAAAACTATGCTGGCTGGAATTAGGGGAACTGAAGTCAGTAGGATCCGTCATGCATGGCTGCATTATTCTCTTACTCATGAATATGGGACTTTAAAAGGGAAGGCAAACATTGAGGAAGGCAGCTCTATTCCTGATCATGGTTGTGTAGAGTACCAGCTCACGAGGAATATAATTTGACAACACAACAAACTGTTCCAGACTATACACAGCAGGGTTATAGATTCATTTGACCTTATTTTACCTGTATACTCTGCGTCCCAGAACAGTTCCCAATAAAAGAACAAGCAAAAGAACTGCAAAAGAAGTTACTCTGAGTAAAACCAGCAATGAAACAGCAGTTACAATAGGTTAAGTTCAAAGTCCTGGAAACAACAAACATGCAATTCCTTGGTGCTAACAGGACAAGACAAAACAAGGACACTAATGGCCTTTCTAAGAAGGAGTTCCGTAAGTGGGATGAAGGGCCCCTCTGCCTGGTCATCCTTTCACCCAGAGAAAAGCCTCCATTTATGACCTGAAGGCAAATCAGTGTGGCAGCAGAGGTTCCTTCCGGTCCCAAGGTATGTAGGACTTTAATGTTAAGTATCAGTCTTTTGAATGTTGCTCAGAAAATGACTGGACTCCTATGTAGGACTTTGAACCCTGTTCCGATGCACCACCGATCAATTTAATAAATAATGAGCACGTGTTATGTATCTATCTCAAAATGGTAGGCACGTAACAAAAGAAGAAGAATTAAAATACGTATCTGCAATTACAGTACATTAAAAAAATCATTTAAACAGTGGGTGCAAAGGTTCGTGGTGGAAAAGCAAACATCTGATCTTAATCAGTAGAATGATAGGCTTATTTGAACGGTGGTTTCCACAAAGGCGTTAAACTGTCAAGTGTTTGCTTGCCAGCTGCCTGGCCTGCAGGGCCTCAGTCAGATTTTGTTCTCAGCTATTCTGAGACAGCAAATAGATCTCATGGTAGAGATTTGCCCATATAATGAAGAAAGGAATGAGAAACATAACTCAGTTCAATGTCATTTCAAACTGCTCTGTACCCAGGAGGGGAGTAATTAATGGGCATGATATGGGGCAAATAGTACCTTTTCCATCCCAGATTCTTTCACAGCTTTGTCTACAATGCTGCGAACCTCGTCTTCAAATTTGTGAAGATTCAGCTGAAGTAGGTCTGCCAGCGTTGTTTCATCAGACATGGTAAACTTCACCTGGTACAGACGGACACGTTAGGAAGGACAGTCAGAGCCGAACACTCTCCTGGAGTCTCCCTATTCTACTCTGCAATTCTATGGCTACAATAATTGTAGCTTTAAATTACATTCAGATTAACAAAAAATGTTTGGCTCTAACAAATGTATGATTTTGATTTTACTTTATTTACAATATATTTATTCACTGATTTAAAAGACTTATATAGCTGCTCATCTTATGTATCATAACCATGGGCAACTAACAGAACAACAATAAAAAGATAAAAACCGTACACGTTTTTACAGATTATTTTTGTATTACATTTTGTTGGAACACTTCAGATTTGTTGGTGGAAGATCAAAGGTTAGAAAGACGACGATGATGATGATGATGACGACAATGACAAAGACGATGGTGATGATCATCATCAATATTGCGGGCCTTTGGTTTAGCCTACATTAAATTACCTGGGTGGCCTGCATGAGTTCTTTCCAATGTCTATCTCGGATAGCTGGATTCTGGAGGTCACTCACAGCTCGAAGGGATGTGATCATATTTTTAACAGTATTATCCAGTCCTATAAAAGCATCCCATGCTCTCATTTCCTTGTCCAAACCTCTGACATCCTTAGCAAATTTCTTGCAGTCAAGATCCATCTGTTCAACATTAATCTCTTTCCATTTGGTTGTCTTCCAGTCGTTAATGCTTTCATTTACCTAGATTGAAACGTGTATGTGTGTGTATATATCTTTTCAGTGGAAAAAAAATCTATTATAAAACCTGCATGGAATTGCTTTCAAGCATTCAATGAGTTTTACAACTCAAAGGGGAAAAAACCGTTACAGTGAGGCCATATTTACTGTATTTTTAATCCTTGACTACCATTCATCCCTATCCAATGCAAGCAATGTGATATTCAAAACTATTTCTCATTGATCCAGATAGCCCATTCAAAGTGAATGTTTTCCTATGTTAGAAATGGACAGTACACAGCTTTAAACAATTTGCTATTTAAGGGTTACATAAGCATCTTGTACTTGGGTGCTCTAGAGGCAAATAGTCGCTATTTACAGAAATAAGGATAGAAAACTCCCCCAATGCCAAGAAGTTTGAAATAGCTATAAGTGTCTGTAACAAGCCACAATGACATCAAAGTGATGGCACGAGGGTTGTGACATCATTGTGCAAGTGACAAAATTATGTAATGACTTTATGGTGTCTGATGCAAACATATACGTTGTGAATTTTGTATGACAATGTCATCACATTGGTGGTGTCATTTTCCCCTTCTGCCCCCCTCGTGGGTACCACACAAACAGCACTTTGGGGTTGTTATGAGAAAGTATGAAGACTCACAAGCAGAGTTGTACTTATAAGTATATCAACAGGTTGCAGGAGGACCCAAATAAGCCATGTGGCAAGGCACCTGCTGCTCACCTTTGGATCCTAGGGAGAACCAAGCCCTTCACCCATGCAGCCCTCACAGGAGCCTATCAATTGTAATGATTTCTCATACCTTCTGTCAATCACTCGAGTTGATTTCCCTCTCCTACATATAGAGGATCCCACCATAACCATTAAAGAAATAATATTCTATTTGTCAAAGTCCCTGGCAATACTTCCAGTTCCAAGCAAAAGTATAATGATAGAGCCACTCACAGGAATTAGCCAGCAGATCGTCAATCAAAGAAAAAAAAAGAACTTGGGTTACAGGACAAGTAACATTGATCTAACTTGGGATTTTCTTCACTCTGTAGTTTACTTTTTCTTCTTTTTGGTGTGGCAGGACCTATCATTTTGGTTGAGTTTAGTACTTGTCCCATTCCACAAATTGTACTTCAAAGTCTTACCAAGACAATCATATCCCAGAGCTCCTTGAGCAAGCGCACTTCCTTATGGCATGCTTTTAGCTGCTTGTAGTCTGGAACAGATACTTCAAACAAGCCTGCAGATTTGGATAGGGCTTCCATCTCTTTTTCCATACCAGTAGTCATTTTTTGTTGCTGGAAGCACACAATGGAAAGGCATTGGTTCCAGTTGCTGAGTACAGAAGTTAGACATTTACTGCCTTTCTAACTCTCCAGCCTGTACTATGTAATCTTATTTGTGGAAATGCCAACATACAAAAGGGGAAATAAGCACAGTAGCACTGAAGCAAGGAACATTACTATATATATCTACAGAATGAAATTCCAGGCTGTTCTTCAAGATCAATTAGCTATTACCTTATTGAGGTCTTCTTGATGCATGGTTGGTAGCACAAGTGACAATTGTTACATATATAACCCCACAACAGAGCTCAGTTGCCTTGGGTATTTTGCTATGGCACTAACGGTGCCCCATATGTATGAGAGCAGTTGTTCTTTGGAATCCATACACTGTTGCCTAGATAGACATTTCCACATCTTAGCAGACATACCTTGGTTAGGGATTTATATGGATCTGGATCAACAAAAGTGAAAGGTGCATCGACTCGGAATTTCTCTCTGAATTCATGTTGTTTAATCTGAACCAAAGAAAAAAAAGAGAAAGGAAATTTTAAGCAGGAAATTGAAAATTGCTGAGTGCAATACTGGAACACTTAAGGACCTCCTCCTTCAACCAGAATTGGTCTGCCCAGTAGGAAAATTTGCTGGCAGTCCCCACTATTGTCAGAACAGAAGGACTGAAGCTAAGAGGAGATTCTTCTCCATTATGACCCCATGGTGAGGAATAGTTCATCACTGGAGTTCATCACCTTGCTGGCCTTCTGAAAGAATAAAAGCGAGCTCTTCTGGAGGGCCTTTTTTTATTAGGTAATTGTTTCTATATTACACTTTAAGATAATTGGGAATATTCTCTTTATGGTTGCATTTTTTATTATGATGGTGGTGATGATGATATTATTGTACTATGTATGTTTTATTTCTTATAAGCCACCAAGAGTTGCGTGATTGCAGCAGTCTAGAATTGTGATGAATTAATATTGGCTGCCACTGCTTCAGAACAGTAATGAGTCTGGATTATAATATTCACAGGTAGCACTCAGGACAAAGCTCATAGAAGGCTGTTGCTCTCTGAAACAGCCCACTCTACCAGCCTGGCACAACCTTGTATGTGGGGAGGGCAACTCCCAGAATCCATGGCCCTCTGCAGTGCAACTGCTGTTCACGCAGGGACAGTTGCTCTCTTGGAGCCAGCAGGTAGAGGGGCCTCAGCTGCCGGGCCTTCAGTTTCTTTAAAACAGCAAACCTGGTCATGGCCAACTGCAGGGCTGGCCTGTGTGCCTGGGGGGCACAGTGGGTGGAGGGGCAGCCAGAAGCGGGCAGAGGGCAGCAAGGGCAACAAAGCAGCCGGCCTCAGTGTGTACAAAGCGGATGACAGCAAAGAAATACTGAAAAGTCTCATTCTTTGCTGTCTGGATTTTTGCAGGGTAGAGCTGAACCTCTTGTGCTGATGTAACCTGCTGGCTCCAAGAGAATGTCCCAGACCGTTGCTGTTTCCCTTCCTCCCCAAGAGCATTTTGTGTGTGGAAACCCCAAACCCCAGAAAACATCTGCTTCTTCCTATGCTGCCATTAGCTCTTTCACTGATGACTAGTCTTGAGAAAGGGAACCCCTTTGAGAGGCTTGCCTTGGGGGCCAGCCCACATGGCCAAATGCACATAGAATTGGATCTTGCTGCCAAGTGAGTGGCGGGTAGCCATCTTAAGCTCCCTTTCCCCCATAAAATGCTTAATGTATGTTGTATCCATTGTTTCCTGGGGGAGTTTGAGCAAAGTTGGACTTTAATCATAAAACATACCTCAAATTGTTGGCATTTCCTTCGGATGATTGTAACTTCATTGGCTTGCAGAGGAGCCACATTCTGTTTGACTTGGAAGGACAACTTTTTGGTGTTATTCCACTGCTCTGGCAATTCCTAAAAGACCCCCCCCCCCAAAAAAAATTAAAACATTTTGCTCATGTAACTGTGAGAGATCTGTGGATGATAAAATAAATACAGCCTGTTATAGGTAATACTGTATGAGGAGAAGAAAAAAGAAAGAAAGAAAATCAAGGAATCAAATAGCCGGATGTACAAGTTTGTTGGGGTCTTGCTGTATTCATATTTGTGCCTTTTTGAACTTCACTGATTTCAGCACAGTTAACAGTAAAGAAATGTGCAAACAATGCTACATCTATGGCAGATCACACTGGATCTGAGAGAATTGAAACAAAACTATAGAATGGCTACCTGCAGATTGTGTAAATTAGGCATATACCCAGGTATTTACTTTCCTAAATTATTTCTTCTCTAGATGTTCTGTATCTCTATTCCAACATACACAAAGTATAAAAACATTTGATGCTTGGGATTGTTTATGTTGTACAAAAGGAACTGAATTATTTTATATCATACATACATATGTATATACATATATACATATATATTTAAATCACTAATGGCTAAATATTTCTAGTGAAAAGTATTGATGATATACTTACGTGCAACTGCATATGGATCTCTTCAGGCATTTCTTCTCCATACAATTTCAGCAATTCAATAGTCTGCTTTAGGGGCTCAAACATATTGTCAGTAGCTATTTGTCTATCTTTGACTCTCATCAAGTGTGCCATCACTTCAACAAGCCCATCATAGTCACCTTCTTTCACTGGTTTAGTTAAGCCTGCATTCGCCTCTTTCATGAAAGCAGCAAGTTCCTGAAGGCTACAAAGGACAGAACAAGTGATATTCTGTCTTTCTTCAGTGCTCACAGGCAGAAATAACATTGGCTTCAGCTTTAGAGGACTAGCCATGTTAGTCCATTGCAGCAAATCTAACAAGAAGTCTTAATATACCTAAATACCAATAAACTTACAACATCAGCTTCCATGGTCAGTAATGTTTCTTTTTGTCATAGAAAACAATGACACCCTGCGAGATAGGAGAAATTCTTCAGTCCTCAGGTAACATGCTGAGGATTGCATGCTGGAAATGGGTAGTGCCAAATCCCAAACTGATAAGGTCCTTTCGTCTCATCTTCTTCACCTAGCCATATTTTCTGTCTTTCTCTGCTGAGAGAAGACAGCTGGGGGAGGAAGATCTCTCTTACCAGAGGTCTGCTCTTAATTCCAACAACTGTGGAGGATGGAGTTGAAGAGAGAAAAGGAAGGGTTTCTTCACAAGGCATGTAATTAAATTTAGTGCTTCCTCCCATGACATATGGAAGTGGCCACCAACTCAGATAGCTTTAAAACAAGATTAGACAAATTGACAAAGGATAAGGCCATCAGAGATTACTATCATTTTGTGGGACACTTTCACAATCAGAGACAGTGTGCTGTTCAGTACAGTTGACAGCCAATTCAAGTGGGAGAGGTGTTATTACACCTTTGTCCTACCTGTGGACTTCCTAATTACAAATAGCGAGTTTTGGAAGGTAATCACTTTATAGCTGTGGCTGATTGTCTTGAACACGTGCATATGGGAGAGGAAAAAGTGTTGTGTTACCAGATGTTTGGAAATTGTCAAAATAACTTCCCGTCCTACCTAGTAGTGACATGATCGATGAGGTGCTGCTTGAACATTAAGCTCCAGCGTTTGATGGTGTTCAGGAGTGCTTGCTTGAAGGGCCGACAGTCACTTTGCAGCCAACCATTGAACACTTTGGTATTCTCAAACTTGGAGACTTCTTCATATAGTTTTTCATATGTATCAATCTAGGAAACCACAAAAAAGTTCAAAGAAGAAAGGAATATGGTACCTAGCACAGTAGGATTTCTACAGACACATTTCTGCCTCCTATCCTTTCTAAGGTAGGCAGCATAAACTCTTTCACTGGTGGAAAATATACAGGTGTCTCTAGGTTGAATGTGTGTTACAAAGTCCACATAGTCAACCTCCCATTACTGCCACAGAATTGGCAAGGGAAAAAAAGGCTATCTTTTCTAGGGATGGAGCACCCTCTTCTGGTTGTGGATGAGTAGCAAAGATACTTAACAGAAAATGAAGAAAGGAAAGTACAGGTAATGAGGACACAACAATTTTCAGGGGAAAAAAAATAAAACCACTGTTGAGCTTTTGTATTATTTATGTAGTGACCATTGTTAAAATGTAGAAATTAGAAGAGACATCAGATTGTTACAATCAGTCTTACAGACTGAAGGCAGGAAAGCTAATTGAACTTTCTTGTGAGATTCTTAGTGTTCTAAGAATCAAATTTGGGGCATCATAGAAGAAATAGGACTGAATGGGAGAGACGGAAAGATAATGATTGAAAAGAAGCTGTTGAAGAAAGAGAAGATGGAAGCTGTAATATTACACACCTTCGTTAGCGGTGATGTGCCCATTATAGGGTTAAGGAAACAGGGTAGGCGATATTCCGTAATATTGTATGTACTCTCTGGTTTGGCCAGATAAAGAATGAGGCCACAAACCTCTCACTTGCCACATCCATCCCCTCCTATTCTAACCTGTAGCTGGAATTGCTCAAGTGTGGGTGCCACATGTGGCAAGTATTCCTCTGCATGAGATTCAAGCTCTTCCTGTGTGAGAGCATGACCAAAAGTGAGGAAACGCTGCATGAATTCCTGAGGATCGTCCATCCAAAGGTATGAGTATTTTTCAAAGGAGTCTTGATATTCCTCGCCCTGCTTCATGGCATTGACCACAATGTTTGCAACTTCCTCCCGCATCTCTATTAGTTCTCCTGTATCTTCCAAGTCAGTCTGCAAACATCAAGAGCCATGACTGGCATTAGGCAATTATAGAAACCAACTGGTTGGCCACCGTAGAAAAACCAGGTGCTGTATTAAATGAACTTGCTCTGAGCTTTTATTTATTGGTACCTAATAACTAGAGAATTCTGGGGTTCTAGATGACAGTTCCTTATTTGCTATCGACTGAGAAGGAGCTTTTGTTACTTCTTTCATAGTGCCTGTTTGTCCTGCATTTTTGTTTTTACCATAGGAGAAATTTGCAGGAAGTCTTTGCCTGTGAACAAAAGTTATAAACTGAATCATTATCACAGGTGGGAGAAGATTCCTTGAGACACCAAGGTGCATTACTTGAAAACAGGCACTATTTGTGGTTGCAAAGAATAAAACATTTTTTAAAGTAAAAGAGGATTTTTCAAGACAGCCACTGTACTGTACTATTGAAGTTGTTGAATTGGGACTGGGAAGGTCCAAGTTCAGGTTCCCACTCAGTCTTGGAGCTCACTGGGTGACTCTTCACCAAACAGCATTTCTCATCTCAACTCACAGAACTGTTTTGGGGACCGAATGAAGAATGCCTGCAACAGATACTCCCTTCCCACAGGAAATCATCACCATTATCATCACCATGATGATGTCCTGTGAGCTGCCCTTCCACTCAATCCTCTTTTTTAAAAAAGAGTAAAGAGAAAAGAATGTCACAATGAGCACCACTAGTCCGTTTAGTATTGACAGCAGTACTCATGATTTGAGAACTGTTGCTGGGCCTGCTTGCTGCTGTGCCCATTAACTGCTATTCCTTGAGTGCCCATTTACAGACTGCCTAAACAGACATTGCAGGACCGTGGGTTACAACTTTCCTGTTCAACCCTAGATACATCCCTAGATACATGGTTCTGATCCTCAAAATGGTGATGCAGGAATTCAGAGCAACACTTAACAATTCTGTGAGATATAAATATTCACTGCTCTTCCTGTGCCCCATCACAGACAATCAGTACATTGTGTAAAGCCAGGTGGACCTAGTTTGGTGCCCTCCAGGCATTTAGAACCACAACAGTAATAAACTCTTGCCAGCATGGCTATTCGTTGCTCTAGATTTATTCATGTTAAAAAAGATTCATAGATTGGGACTAACCTTATAGCTGTGCTTCCCTTTTGCCAGTCGGGGTATAAGCTTTGCTGTATCATAGATATCATTCATTAAGTTTTCTACCATTTCCAAAAAACCTTGTTCTGCTCCTACTTCCAGCGATGGACGATACCTTAAGTCATCTTTATACAACTCCATCCGTACTTCAAATAATGGGGCAACATTGGCCTGAAAGCACATTGGTGCATTTTTTCTTTGCTAGTTGTCAATCTCATGTTCAAAATATGTTTTTTCCCTTTTCTATCAACTCACTGGCCCCTTGGTCCTATCGTTATGGTTATGATCTGTATCTGACAATATAATCAGCAGATACATAAAGAAACCAGTATGTTTCTAGATTCAGAAGATTGCAGGAATTCCCTTTTTTAAACATTGCTCTTCTTTATTTGTCTTTTGAATCGTTCTGATTTCTATTATTAAATTTGGTTGAAAGTTGTAATAATAAACTGCAGAACAATGGTAAAGTGGGGGAAGAGAAGTAGGAGGTAGCAGCGGGCCATACTTGTTCTCCCTATCTCCACATTTTTCAAAAGAATTGTTCCCATTGGTTTCAGTGGGAAAGAAAAATACATACAACTTCCAACATACAATTGATAAGAGCTTTCATCTGGGGTCTACATGGAAGAGAAGAACAGCTTTGAATCCAATAAATCCTAAATTGCCCCTGCATCAGTGTGCCATTTTGAGGACTGTTAAAAAGCAATTTCATGATGTGGGTGTGCACATGCACACACAATAGCAGAGCTCTTCAAAGGTGGAAACACAACACTTCTGACCCATCACCAAGGCCTCTGAGAGGGTCATCTAAAAAGGTTAGGATTGCTCTATTGGCTCATCATACAACTATGTGGGCACTAACACATCTTGCTTAACTGACTCTTACTAAAAAATCTCTCTGGAGATTTAATGTATTGAGCTTTGATGCAAACATCTTCAGATTAGTAACAAAACTCAGGCATGCACCCATTAATATCTTTGTGTTTCAAAAGGTAGCATTAAGGGGAAAAAAACTTCTGAAACTTCATTTACTTACCTCAGCTGACATATTGCTGAGCAGAAACTGCAGTGATTTGCGTATAAACTTAAAGTAGCCATCAAAGATTATGTCGTCTATGTATTCTACATAACGAGACCATATTTCGGTTGTCTTGTCAGCCTTGAACAAATCTGCATTCTCCTGGAGATAGGGAAAAAAATTATTTAAGAGAAGCAGTGAATCAGGTTTAGTCAGAACCTTTCTGTCAATAGTATTTGCTTTAATGGCCATAAAAAGAGTTGTTCAGCAATATTTCAGTAACTATAATTCATACACACAAATACATACATATATTTCCAATGTGTATGTGAAGCTATGGAAGAGAATTAAGAGATTAAAAATATGCTCAGTTTAAGCATATCACATTAAATATGGCTCTGCATCCACAATGATGGCAGAACTGAATAAATATTTAAAAAAATATTTACCATATAGTGTACTGGGGCTATAAGTGATATGATGTTTTTGTTTTCCTTCTCTCCCAGATAGGAAATCCTTCTAAAATGTTCATGTCTTTAAAATAGGGCATGCTCCCCTCAGAGCATTGTCTGTACTTTTTAGTTGAGAAGCTGCTGTCAACTTAGGTTGCAAGACAATCTCTAGATTAGAAATCCGAGGTAGAGACAACAGTATGAGGATGCTTGGGATAAAACCAGGCCTTCATTACATTTCTAGCAGACTGACCAAAATATGCTAAAAGTGATAAGTACTCACTGCTAGCAGAGAGTGCTGCATGTGGTACCAGTGTGACCGATTTTACTGTTAACAATGAAAGATTGAGAGAATTAATGAAGAATAGAAGGTGATCAATGGTTAGAATGTGAAACAGATCTCTCTCTCTCTCTCTCTCTCTCTCTCTTAGTAATGTCAGTTGTGGATCTTGGGAAAAAATGATCAAGGAAGAAAAAGAAAGGAGAGAAAGGAGTGAAATAGAATGACTGCAGAAAGAGAAAAAGCATGAGAAAATATTAGTAGCCAAATCTCCCAGCAGAATGAATGAAAAATGGGCAGAGAATAGAGGAAGGGGAAGCTGTATGGAATAAAGTGAGAGAGATTATGTTTTAGAGTGCCCCAGCAGTATGAAAAAGGAGGCTTGCTGGAATGATGAAGTGAAAGAGGCCTCGAAGAAGGGGGGGGAAATGGGCAAACACAGGAATGATGGCTGCAAAAAATGAGAATGAGAGAAATATAATGCATAATGTGTTCAGAGAGAAAAAGTTGCAAATAACTATCAAGAAAAGTGGGGAACGTTTAAAAAGGAAAAAAAAAGCAGGGAAATCTGCAGAGCAGTTTTGATGGAAAACAGTAACTGTTTTGGAAGTAGGTGAAGAGGACCAAAAATGGAGCCTGCAGCAAAGTGCATGGAATTAAAAATAAAGGAATGAAATTATTCACAATGATAATTAAGCCCTCACTTAATTATTTAGAGTATTTTAGAGATTTGTACAGGTATGATAGTGATAGGTTGAAAAGTAGAATTGAAATGAATATTATAAATGCTAGTAGAAAAGAAATTGATAAAAAGGAAATAATAATTTCTGCAAGAATGTTGAAAAATTGCCTGGCTGGAGGGGTAGATAGTGTAACTGTAGGTATATTAAAATATAAAAATAGTTTCCTTGTGGAGTGACTAGGGAATTTATCTCAAGTATGCATAAATAGAGCATCTATGCCTGGTAGTAGGTAGTGTGTAATATGTGAAGTGTTGCAAAGAAAGCTTGTTCAAAGAAGCAAAAATAGCTGTGTGTAAGACTGTGCTTCTGCCTGCTTTCTTATATGGAAGAAAGAGCTGGGCATATCAGGAGAAAGCAAGTTGAATGCAGTGGAAATAGGAATTTAAAAAGTGTGGGGTAAAACAAGAAGAGATGGGTCAAGACTGAATGGGTGCTAAATGAACATGGATTGAATTAAAAAAATAATGATCAGTATGAAAGAAATACATTCAGGCAATCTGTTATAGAGAAAGAAGGGATGAGGGTTGCACAACAAACATGGGTTGAGAAGAAGAGGAAGATTGAAAAAGCCTGGCCGGCTGGACTTGATGCAGTCCTCAAAATGGGAAAGGTAGGAGGTTTAAAGGACAAAATGCAACACATGAAGCAGTGATTGTCTGAAAGGATAGAAAGCTACGGAGAGAAACACTGTTGCTGTAAACTACATTTAACTGTACATTCTTTTCTTTTCTTTTTTCTTATTTCATGCCTTTAAATTCTTTGGTTCCTCTTTCATGCTTCCATTCTGCACATTGTGTAACACTACCTACCCAAAAAAGCATAATGGCTGGATGTTTGGAGGACTCCCAAATTATACCACTGCACATGTTTTGGCATAAAGATTCCAAAAAAAAGAGTAGAAATGGGTGTTCAAACCCTCTGTGAGGCCAGCTATGCTTACACTGTGGCTGAAACCACAGGGTCAGCATTCAACAGCCAAATAGCCAATGTTCAACTGTGTGACTTTTGAGTAAAAATGCCAAAACAATGCTGGAAATGGGTGTGCTAAAATTCTATGAGCCAAATGCACCCATCTTCAGTCTTTACCACTCCCAGCCTCTAGAGAATGCAAAGAAAATCAGGCTGAAAATGTCTTCTCTAATGGGGTCATTTCCAGAACTTCAGACCCCAAACTAGAAATAGTCGTGCAGGAGAGTTTGAACAAACCCAAATTCAGATGCCTGCAACTACTTTCATTTAGATTGTTCTACTCCTGGCATGCAAATTCTCCTTCTCAACCCTGCTGAGGTATAATTCATGTATACTGAATCAAAGCAACTCTTTTTAAGAATTAATGATATGGTATTTAATGCATACAATAATTGGTTCTCTTAGCTTTTTAAACATCTACCAAAGGAAAGGAAAATAGTCAAAGTAGGAGAAGCAATTTTTATTATTTTGATTTTCAAGAAATTATATGCAGCTTTGAGTACCTTGCTAATCAATGCATAAAATGGTCAATGAAAACTTAACAACCATCACCCTGTCACTATGGAGATATGATCTGAAGGGCAGCCAGAGAACAGACTCTGTTTTGAAGGCCTTTTCAACTCCTGTCTCTCTAGGACATAGCTGGTTTAAAGACCATAACACATCTTTTATATCCTGAATAGCCTTATCAGAAGTGTGCTCCTGAATAACAGATTGAGCAAACTCAGATTTGGGATGTATATCTCAACTTTAACTTGTAGCAGTCCCTTATCTATAGCTATAGATTAAGCTATGCACATTTAATGCAAATCCATGTCCTCTTTCTTGACAATACAGAAGAAGCCACCTGGTCTGCAATGGAAATTGAAGGAACTGCTTTGAGTAACATGGCTCTGGTCTGGCTGCATGTGAGCAGGAAAAATATGATCAAGAATAGAGAATTCCAAACTTATATTGTGAACCTTCCTTGTAGTAGAAGCATTTTTACTATGTCACTTCAGGAATAGAGCTAGAATGCAAATCAGAAGTGAACAACAGCTGTCAGTGCCATTTGATATATGGCCAACTGAGGCTGAAGTGTGTATATTCCCAAAGGTCCACTTACCGAAAACCCAGAAAATACCATGCCTCTCAGATGCCATTACTGAAACTTAATGGCCCATAAATAAATAAATGATACTATTTTAATGCTTATCATGTTCCTTTCATTCATGAAAACAAGCACTTTATATGGTAGGTTACAAATTCCATTGGTGGAAATCTGAGGCTGAGCAAAAATAATTTGGCTGAGAGAGGTTACATATTTAAGCACAGAGTTAAACCTGATTACACTTCTTTTATCTGAGCCTCCTGTGGGTAGGAACTCAATGTTATTCAAGGGTTAACTTCAGATCTTCTCAACTGAGGATTCTGGAACATATATTGCAAGCTTTAGGCATGGCCTTCTCTGTAGTTGCACAAGTATTATACATTTTTAAGCTTTTCTCTGCCTTCAGTTTAAGCATCTGAAAGATGCCTATAGATTTTTAAAGGGGGTTTTGTGGGAAATCAGTTAGCAAATGTAACTATTGGTTGAGGATTAATAATGTGGACCACTGTTATTGTTTAAGCACACTTTACTGCTACCGGAGTGTTTTAAAATCATTTTGCAAGTTGCCTTACAAATCTTCAAAATGAAGACTAGAAATACTCTAAATCAACCACTTAAAATAAATATTGTGGTTTCCTACCTCCAAAAGCACCCCAGCCTGGTACTTCACACATTACAAGGAATACACATATCTCAAGCTAACACCTTCCACTGAGCGAGGACCTCCAAAAGTAGCTAATAATGATATGGTTTCAAAAATAAACATCCTTAATGTATTATATAAAGTACTTGATTGCAGCCACATAGGATGTGAAAGGAGGGCTGGATCTCAACAGTTAGGCACATACTTTGTATGCAAAAGGTTCAATCCTTGGTATAACTAAGTGAGATTAATAAAGATTAATCAATGTTGACAATACTATAGTCAATATTAAGAAAGATGAGGTCATAATCTGATGCGAGATAAGACAATTTCCTATGATCTAAAAGCGTATAAAAAACTAGTACTGTTGGCAAACAATATTCAACAAATGGTCCATATTTTTATGAAAGCTGTCTTTCTCTCTCTCCTTCGTACCTCCACCATACTCTGGATCTTCTGCCCAGCATCTTTGATGGCTGCATAGCGTTTGTTTATATTTGTTTGTCTTCCATCCAGATCAAGAAGGGCTGTCTCCTTATTGTCTTTCCTTTCAAACAAAGGACTAGCTGACCATTCCTGTAAGAAGAAACAGGAATGGAAGAAATTCCTTTACTGCAGCTGTCACAAATAAATTTGTAGCAGAACAAAACTAAAATTATATCAAGGAACCTACTTTTTTTTTTAAGTGTCCGGTAGAAATGCTTTACTCACTTGCATAAGCTGTCCGATATTCTCCACATTTAATTTGGTTTTTTGAATTCTTGTCTCTAAATCATATAAAACATTTCGCATCTCTTGGATATAATCCATAACACCTGGATGGGCAATGGAAGGGAAACTTAGTAAGTAGCGAGAGTCTATACATTTCCCATGGGTTTAATATCCAGTTCCCATATTTTTATCACTGAAAGATAACTGGTATCATGGCACTAGAAAGAAAGGGCCATAAGAATATAAAATTAGCTGTGCTGGGTCAACCAAGCCCTTGTAAGCCAACCAGATGTCTCTGGCTGTCCTTGCAGGCAAGAGATGCAAGCATATTGTTCTTTTGCCATTGCTCACCTGCGACTGGTATTTGGAGGCATACTCCCCCCAGTTTGGAGATATTGGGTCTTCAGAGCAGATCCCACCTTGTAATAGATAAATGTACCTTCATTACTCCAAAACAGGTTGGTCTCAGCTTTCTCTAGGCCAACATCAATTTCTTCCAGTTCAGTTTTGACCAGAGGAAGTTCTACCAGCAAAATGGTTCTCTTGATCTAAAAGTAGGTAGTTTATCTCAGGATGCATTCTTAATTCATTTTGCAGAGATGTGGTATTGCCTTGATGGCGGCATATTTTGTTTTAGCCCTTATTCTAAGCACTCAGCAAGTTCAAGAAAACCTGCAAAGTTTGCAGACTTATATACAGGTTTTTATTTGCAGGACTGAATTGTTAAAGAAAGAAGCTGCTGCCCTCTTCAAAGGACAATCTAAGTAATGCTTTATGAGCCAATTATATTATAATACCTTCCAATTCATTCACATAATGAATGAACAGATAAATGAAATTGCTCCTCATTGTTTCCTGACAAAGGAAGATGTGTTATACCTCTTTATAGCCTAATGGAGCTAAGGGAGGGAGAGATTTGTTTTAAAAAGGGACAGAGGAAGATAGAGAGAAGCAGGGAGCTGCTAACATCATAACAATAGAAGGCAGGAAGAAAATATGACACAGGGAGACAGTGGCAATGGCAATTGGCTACTCCCAGACTCTCGTCCAGTTCAGAAAGCCTTGATAAGAGTTCTCTGAGTTGAGTATTTTATTGCTGAATGCCAAGTTAGGAAATTGAAAAATAGCCACCCAGGACTGGATTCTAGATGAGTCTGCATCACAGAGACATGGTAGGTGAAACTAAGAGAATCAAATCAAATCTTTATTATAGTCAAAGACCAGCATAAACTAAGAGAATTAATTTCTTCAAGCTTAGCCTGGTGCAGCAGCAGTCAAACTCTGGGCAACAAGGGAAGCATATTTTCAACGGTCTATGGTGATCTTTTCCATCATTCTGGTGTATTTGGGACAGAGACTCTGCCTGGCCTCTCTTCCTAACCTTCTGATTGGGTGGTCTGAGAGATGTGCCAGAGTGCCCTAGGCTTGTTGCATTGGTAGATTTAGCATTCACCCTGACTTTCTAAAACTGCTCAGTATGATGTGGCTCAAGATTATGGGGACTGCATGGCAACCATGGGCCTGTCCAAATTAGCATCTGGTACTTTTAATCTGGCCTGGCACGATATGATTCATGGGGGTCATAAAGAGTCAGACACGACTTAACGACTGAACAACAATACCACCACTTTTAATCTATCAGAGTACATTTGATTCCAGTTTCCTGTATTTGGTGGCATATAATTTAGGTGTGGAGGATCTTTTTGTAATTCTATTGTGATGGATTGATTATTACCTAAGGGACAAATCATTATTCAGATAATTACTTACTCTCAGAGCTTCCACAGAGATTAGGAACTAATGAAATTGGTTCAACTCAGCAAGAAGATGGATTTGAATGATTCCTATTAGATTCCAGACATAATTCAAAGACTATTTATAAATTAATAACTGTCTTGAGGCCTGACTATCCGAAAGACAACAGAGCTTACCTAGTTTTTAAGATCCTTAGGACCTTTTCTTCAGCCTCTCATCTTTAGAGAGGGCTTTCTCAGTGGTTACTAAATCAAGAATGAACTACTAGGGAAGATAGCTTCCTCTCAGCTGTTCCACTGATAGGCAACAACTTTTTTATTAAAACAAGCTCTTTGTCTTTAAACTGACAAGCTGTTGAAAAAAAATTGGTAAGGTGTGTGCTATAATTAATTTCTTACTGATGCCTTTTCATTTGAATCTTTAATTTATGAGTTGTTATACTTTGATTACAACTTTATTTTATTTCCATTTTACTGTTAGCCATACTGACCTCTATTTCTAGTGAAAGAGTGTGGTTTATATTCAGGCAGTTCATAAATAAATACCTTATTGTACCAGCCAACAATGAGATCTAAGTTGTCCACAAATTTCTGGAAAGTTTCATTCTGAGAGAAGAGGCTGCCGGCACTGCCTGGAATTTCTTTCTGCTGCTGAAAGTTCAGGTACTTGACTTCACGGAGAACAGCTACGAGCTGTACAGTAATGTAGCAGTGAGAAATAAGTGCTTTTCCAAATATAGAAAAAGAATTGAACTAAAAATGTGATTGGCTGTTGGCTAGATACAGATCTGATACGCTTGTAATACAGTGTGAAGTATGTAAATGAATAGAGATGGACAAATTCTTTCTTATAATGTTCAAATATTTCAACCCCAATTCTGTTTCCACATAAAGCTATGTATGGTTAATATTTTAAGTCTGTGGTTACTATTCATGTTGCTGAGGAAGCTTCCCTTTCAATGCAAAGAACAGCTATGAGGATCCAAATCTGGGGGTTAGACCATGATAATAATAGCTAAGGTCCACCTCCTCCCATCCCAGGGTTCCAGCCTGTATAAGGAACCCTTACAGGTTTTATTTAGTTACAAAGAACTTGGACACTCAGTAATTAAATAAATAACATATCATCTGGTTTACTGCTACAGCCAAGGTCCCGTGAAGCTGGAAAGCTCATATCCAATTTAATCAATATCCTTTAAACATAATTAGTTTTCAAATCCAATAGGGATATTCATTGGATTTCTTTCTGCTATATAACAGACCTGGCATTTTGGGAAAGACCCTATTAAGATCAGTCACTGCAGCCTGAAGAAGCACCCTACATAGATGTTGGATATTACCCATCATTCCCAGACAGAATAGTCAGTGCTGACTAGGGGTGATGGGAACTGTAGTCCAATACACCTGAAGAGTGCCATTTTGGAGAAGACTAAACTTGCAGTCAAGCTGTCCACCATACTGAAATGATGTTAGCATGCTTCTGCATTGTTCACCAACCGCTTTGCTGAAGTTGACACTAATAAGTCTTGTTTCTGGATCTCTCTGGATCAGTGGCTGCTCTAGATTAAACTGGCAGTCTGTATCAACCCTGCTGATCCACTCTGCGTAAATTCTTTCACGGTAACCTTTCAGCAAACGTATCATCTCATCATACTTTCCATAGATCAGTTTGGCTTCCGAACTGACCATTACACTGCAAAGAGGAAAGAAATCCCTCAGTTCCAGAAGGGAAATAGAATTTAATTAACATTGGCAACAAAGCTAATAGCTTGTAATACTACTCCAGGGAGTATATTACTAGATTCTGGATAGTCTCTCATGGCAGATTGTTACTTACGGATGATCAATGGCATGCAAATCTTTCCTTGGGATCTGCAATCTTTCCTGGAGTTCTAAAGCCCATTTCAGTTGCCCAGCCACAGGTGGCATATTTTTGCTAATGGGAGGCACATGATCTCCAGTTTGAGTAGCAGATATCTGGGCATCATACAAAATTTTTGCATTGTCCAATTCAACATTGAACATCTCCAAAAGCGATGCATAGTGGGGAGCTGCGTCTGCTTTGATCAAGGGTCGTTCCAACAGAGATGCAAACATATGGATTTGCTAGAGAACAAAAGTGGTAGAAATAAATCTATATATGGGATGTGTCCCTTAACCTTCAATATGTATCTGCAGAAACTTTTTGAGATAATTTAAGAAGTTATTCCTAGCCAGTATACTTCTTGGTGTGCGACTTCATCCCCAAGGTTTTTGGGTTTTCTTTTCAAATGACACCATTCTATGGCTACTGAGTATGCTCAGACCCACATTAACAGTGCCAGTAAAATTGCTGAAATAAACAACAGTAATTAAGAGAATGACTAGGCATTCTTATATATGGGTATGCAGAAGTAAGCACTGATGAAATCAGTGGAGCTAACTTGCATGGTAAATGGATAAATGGGACTGGAATCTTAAAGGTAGCAAAAAGAACCATCAGCCTGCACAAAATAACATTTGTTCCACTGCCTTCTTTTGTGCTCTAGTAGGGTTTTCAAGTTATTGAAGAAGTACAAAAATTTATCGACCAAAGTAATCACGCAAGGAATGCAACACCACAAATAACAATGCCTGCATTGTGCTATATTCAGAGTGAAAGCCACTGTCTGACTCTTTGCTTGCCCTGCTTGGCATTTAGGAATCTATTTCATACACAAAGCAACTGGGACAGAACAGAATCAAACTGTTTGTTCTTTAAAATATGATATTTTCCCCATTCATGGTAATAATGCTTTATTGCTGTCTTATGGTTCTAGCCATTCCTAAATTTTGTAGCTATCATAAAAACAACCAGAGCTCAGCCAGACAGTTCCTTTTTCAAAACAACATGAAGGTTCTGTGCCATCTCGCAAAATGTGTTTCCTACTCCAAATACTAAATCTTTTTTCAACAACCCATTGCTTCCTTTGCTGCCTACCAGTGTAATGAGGATAAAATAGTGCTCATAGAACTATGTTAATGAGTGAATTGATATCTTTGTGTATATAAACCCTGCATCATTTTTAAATGTTTTCCTCAGTGTTTCTCAAACTGCTAATCAGTAGAAGATAAATTTTAATCATAACAGAATAATAGCCCATTTCTAGAAACTGTATTTTACTGATGATAAGTTGTAATGGAATATATTATGAAGAAAACAAGTTTACATAAATTCTAAATGTGTATGAACTTCTGGTAAATCTTTTGAAATCCTAATTGTAATTAGTAGGAAGTGGTAAGACTTCATTTACCCATTTCTTGGCCCCAGGATCTTGATTTGGATTGTTAATAACATCTGCAGAGTTCATGATTCCTTGTGAAATAAATTTGGTGCTTCTCATTGTAGATATTGTAAGAGGAGAACCAAGTTAGGCTATAGTGGCCAAAAATCAAAAAGATTCTGGTAACATCTTTTCAGACTAACAAATTTGATTAAAGGCCAAGCTTTCATGAATTGCAGTTTAAGAAATCTGGCATCTGATGAAATGAACTGTAGTTCATGAAAGCTTTTGCCCTTTAATCAAATTTGTTACTCTGAAAGGTGCTACAATATTAGAATCTTTCTGACTTGTGAAATTAATTCTGGAAATGCTCCAAGTCCCTTTGTCACGTCAGTAAATATTACATTCTTATCGGTTCTCTGAAAAAGGAAATTTTAGATAGAATGAAAGGAGGGAAAGGAGGGAAGTTAAAACTGTTCAGAATTAGGTTTGTTTTCTCATTATTTGTTTCAAAACTTGTATCAGAATGACACACAAAGTAAGATTAACAGTTGAAGATAATAGAGGCAGGATAGGGTTGGGGGCAGTGAATTTTATGCCATTATTGTTTTCTACTAGCTCAAGAATGAGCAGAAAACACTCATTGGTGGGGATTGATCCTATGAGCTGTTTGGTTCTGACGGAGTCTGAGAAGTCAGTGCTATTCCATACTGAGCACAGATTAGAAAAACAATGTTTGTTCTTCACATCAGGGATAGAGCTGGGAGAGTCTTCCAGCTTAGCCAGTCATAAAAAGCATTTTCTTCTGGCTAGAACAGAAACAACTGCTTGGTCCACTACCTGAGTTTTAGATAAGAAGCATGAAAAACAGGGAGGGATACCTTGACAGCTGATTCAAAACTGGAACAGTCAACAAATCCTTGATAGAAAATGGTGCCCAGTCGCCTATCCAAATCCTGAATTTTGATCTGAAAATCTGCAAAATCTGCATCAAATTGCTTTAAGTAACAAAATAATAGAATAAATTAGATCAGGCATATACTGTATGCATGGACTTTCAGAAGTTATTAAATCTACACTCTCAATCAAAGAAGCAGCTGGGCCAATTTATATTACAAGAAATGCATTTGTTGCTATAGTGATTATAAACACTAGGTTATACTAAGTGAATAATTAACCAGTTTTATATGTACTTACATTTTCTATCATAAAATGACTAACCTCATCTGCTGGATCTAATGGATCATATTTGCATTCTGCAAAAACTTTCACGTATTCAAGAACCTCCTCATAAATTTGGAACACCAAGCTTCCAAGGATATTGCCTCTCACACCTCCCAATTCAATTTTCTCCAATTTGAGAAATTCAATTGCAGTCATGTATAGTTCCTTAAAAAGACATGTAGCCAAGTTATTCACAGATTTTTTTTAATCCAAGAAAAGGCTATGAAAGTAATCAACCGCAAAACCAGTTTTAATATGTATATGCTTCTTTATTTTAAAAAATGCCATTGTTCATAAAATGATTTTCTCTAAGTTCAGTATTTTTAAAAATGGAGTAGGACTTTAAAGCTTAGGGTTTTATAACTGTTGATATGTTATATAAATAGTCTATCTTTCCACCTACTTTTCTATAAGAATATAGACCTTTTATGCTAATTATCACTACAGTTATTTCACATTTTATAGCAACTACTTAATTCTCACCTCTATAGTCTTTAACCTGTGAAAAAATGAATTCATCCTTGTAAAGACAAGAGTAGAGGGAAATTCCCAGTACTGAGGTTCTTTATCCTGAAAACATAAACAAACAAACAAATAAATAAATAAATAAATAAAAATTTTTTTTAAAAAAAGGTAGGAAACATGTGTAGAACTTGGGTTCTGGAATTCTTTCCAACCTATGCCATTGGTGGCCATAGAGGGTATCTTTAATGACGTAATGCAGTTTCTGTGAATACTCTTTCTCCCCAAGGGGTGCACAGGTTTGATAGAAAGATGGTCTAATCATGGTGAGTGAATATGTGTTGCCTCTATATATGTGTTTCAGCCATCCCCTTGTGTTGCATCAGTGTGTGTTTGTATTAGTGCACTAAGAAACTGGGTGTGGGGGAGGTGCATATACTTCATTCAGGGTCATGTGACCATGGGGGAAGAGGCAGGGGGCTTAGTTTAGCTGTCCCATAATCTAATGCCTTTTCCCTTTGAATAAATCTGGTTAAAGTTTCTGTAAGAATCTTGCTTTTTGGCTGTAAGCAGCTGGTAAGGGCTTGACATGAATCCTTGGCATCTGGAAACATTTGCCAATTTATCTCTAAATTCACTAGGGCAGAGATTTCCTGAAAAAGGAAGAACATGCAGATGTTCTATAATGGTGGTCCTCATTTAGTAACCACTCATTCAACAACTGTTTGAAGTTACGATGGTACTGAACGAGGAGACCTATGGCTGGTCCTCAAAGCTGTGGTTGTTGCAGGGTCCCTGTGGTCATGTGATCGCGATTCAGGCACTTAGCAACTGGCATGCAATTATGACAGTTGTAGCGTCCTGTGGTCATGCGATTGCCATTTGCAACCTTCATTGCTGGCTTCTGAGAAGCAAAGTCAACGGGGAAGCCGGCAGAAAGTTGCAAGTCACGGTCACAAGACATCGAGCTCAATGACTGCAACCAGAACTGCCAAAACTGCCATCGTATGTTGGTGCAGTCATGTGACTTTTCACTTTATGACTGTATCGCTTAGCAATGGAGTTCCTGATGCCAATTACTGTCGTTAACTGAGGACTACTTGTACTCGTAATACTTTGCAAGCTGCCCACTTCTTTCCCAGGCTCTGAGAAAGTGATGTAATATTTCCTCTAAGATTCATCAGGGTCTGCTGCTGCTATTGTGGCCAACCTTAAAAAAAGAAGGCATCATATCTGTGCAGCAAAGGTCATAGGTCTTGTAGAGTTTCTCAATCACAGCGATGGCCAGCTTGATTCCTGACAAAACCTCCTCAATTTCGCCTTGCAAGCCTTTCAACACTTCCTCGGGACTCAAAAAGTTACGTGTCTAAACAGGAAGAAATGCAAACAAAGATTAATAGGGCTCGTCGAACCAGACTTTGTAACCAAAATGTCATAACAGCTTGGTGGCCAATTCTATCATGCTAGTAATTCAGAAGCCCCAAAAGGTTTGTTTCAGCATCATAGTTACAAGATAAGAGTCTGCTTCCATTTATGCTGGTCTTTAAGTCTTTTTTTTTTTTGTGAAAAAACAGCATGGAACCAAAGTGGACTATCCAGCAGAAGTGCCTCAGGATTGGCTTATGGGGTAGTGGTAGCAGAGAGTAGAAAGCAGAGTTTTACGAGAGAGGCCCGCAGTTGCTAAGCTGGCAGGTTAAAGATTCCCTGTCCTGGATCTAGTTCGCGTATTCCCTGCTCTGGGTGAAATGTTCAGCCATAATCTGGAATGCTTCTCTCACATTGCTTCTCCACTGGCAAATTACTGGTGTTGATTTGCACAACTCTTCTAGCTCCTTATCTAGTGGCAGGGCAAACTGTTTGCAACTCTCATGCAAACTGGAGCCCACCCCTGGATGCACGAGGGGCTGTGACAGCACAATCAGTTGCCTTCCATCTTTAACATTGCAAATCAAGAATGCTAGCTCCTTCACTTCTCCTTTGATTGCTCAAATAAAAATGCTTGACAACATTAATTCAGCAATCCTGAATTAACTAAAATAATTTTTAGAAACTTCCTATTGAACCGTAAGACTGAATTGCAAGAAGAAAAAACAATCATAGCAAATGCTTTTGATACTTCAAATCTGAATGATTCTTAATATTGTTGTCCTCAGTGGTGATCATGCTGGAGGACAACCTTCTTTCTCTTGAGTGCCCAATACAAGGGAGAGGCAGTAAAGAAAGTGGGTGAGGGTAATGATATTCCCTTAAGCCTGCACCACCCTTTAGCTAACTACCTAATCTGTCAATACTAAGAGAGCCCTGTGATATGATACATTCATATTTGAGATTCTCTTGGAAGCCTTAAAAAAGCTGAAGAAGGTCAGTGGGCACTGAACTAGATACATTTCATACAAAGTCTTTGCAGCATAGAATTCCTTTTCAATCCATTTCAGCAGACAATCAAATAAGAGTATAAAAATAATCCATCATGGTAGTACATTCTACTAAGTTTATATTATATAAATTACAGCCCTTTAGACTGTGATGGTAGGAGGTGTAAAGAAATCAGTATATATTATCATCTTTGGTGACAGTTCCCAGCTAGACAGTGCTTCTGCTTGAAAGTTTTTGACGTAATTAGGAAAATTGCTCAGAATTTTTTTATAGTTAATCCTGAATTTGATTTACTGTCTGTACTTCCTAATGCACATAAACTAACCCATCATGAGAAATTGATTTACTTGTTGTCAGCTAGATTTATGCTTCAAAGTATTGGGAAATTAAAATACATCTTTTACTGAATCCATGGTACTTAAAGCTGTAAGAAATTTCCTAGGCTGAAAAAAATAATAGAATAATAAAAATCTTGGGAAAAGTCTAGTGATGAACAAATTCAGTCAAATTTGTCACCCCACTGATTAACTATATTAATAATTATTTTCCAAATAGATTATGTACACATCATGATTTTGGATTGAAATTTTGTTCTATGTTTTTGTTCTTTATTTCTTGTCTTGAAAAACAATATATTGTATATATATTTAAGGAATAGTAAGAGAAGCTTGGTTTCATTATTACTTTTTCATCCTTTCTTATGGATAAACCTTTTCAGTGGTTACAGACATCAAAGTTGTAGGGAAAAAACCCTTCCCAATTAAGAACTGATATTTTCATAGTGTAATACCATTTCAATGAAGAGATTACAAATCTCCTGCAAAATGACAATGACTCGGGATGGAATGTTGTAATATTCAGAATTAGCCCAGATCAAGCATACTGTGTACATGATGCTACCGATGTGTGAAGACACCTGTATGGAAACAACAGAATGGAAGCTTCAGAAAGGTGAAATAAACATTTTAAAACTATTGCATTTTTCTTGGTGTGCTGATCAAGATCATCTTTACTAATCTGGAAATCCTATTCACATTTCTGAATGTGTGAACAGTGTCCTCAGGCTAGAGAACAACCCTTTGATAACTGTAAACAAGAGAAGGATGCACAGCTTATCCTGAACTTTGCATGTGCCCAAAACATCCTCATTCCCAGAACCTCAAGAAAGAATTCTAAAGAAAAGGAAGTAGCCAGCACCAAACGTAATGTATTAGTTTACCCTGATTTCATTTTAATAATCATATGGAGGATTGTGCTTCCAAGCTAGTCAGGGCAAGGAGACCCTCTAGACCAGTGTTTTCTCAACCTTGGCAAGTTTGAGCTGGGTGGACTTCAACTCCCAGAATGCATGCTGGCTGGGGAATTCTGGGAGTTGAAGTCCACACAGCTTAAAATAGCCAAGGTTGAGAAGCACTGCTCTATACAGTGTAGCATTCAGTGGGCAAAATTGTATACAATGTGCCCTAAATGGCTCTCTCACACTCTGTTTTATGCTCAGTGGAGAGGGTTAGGATGTGCTGTGCTGCACAAGAAGATTCCTCCCAGTTTCAGAGATTCCATGACTACAGATACACTTACATTAGGAGGACAAGAAGGAGTTTTTATGATAAAGTCTTACCTTTCAGTTGGGTTTACTTTGCCAAGGGAGCTGCTTGGGCCTAGTGCACTTCAATGGAGCCCATAGGTGAGTAGATTTGTGTAGGTTGATCATAATAAGCATATATGATGCCAAACCATGTTTTGGGCTTACAGTCACTATTTACAAGTCATGATTGCCCTTCTAAAATATTCAGATTTTGTGATGGCTATTCATTGTTTGGGCTGGAGGTGGTAATAACTTGTTCCCAATCACTCTGGAATCAGCCATCCCCACCCCACCCCCACTCCCCATGATGGGATTTAGGGTGATCTAGGGTGAAAGTTTAATCCTAAACAGCACAGTCATTATCTGTACTCAATCTTTGTGTATAATATCTTCCAGAGAATTCTCTCATGCTACCTTTGCATACAGCATCTGGCCCAGCCTAGTGTTCTTCAGATGTGTTGGACTTCACTGCCCATAATATCTAGCCAGGGAAGCAGAGTGCAGGCCGTTTCTATTTGTGAAGTCCCAGACCGCTGAGAATGTCAGTAGGCCTTTTAAAAGTGATGTAGTGGCCTGTCAGCTTCTTACATCAAGAAATATGGTAACTCTCAAGGTATCATTTCTTCACATTTGACATACCAGGTTATAGTCAGCTTGTTCCACCTCCTCCAGTGTAACTTTTAGAGGCTGCAGATACAGGTTGATATCATCAGCTTCTTTCAATCCTGAATAAAAGGAATGCTTGAGGGTCAGTGAACTTAGGAGGGAAAGAGATCTGATTAAAATTTTAGTGGGTCTTTTTCATAACAATGTTCAGGTTGCTTGGATGGGGAACCTGTAAATGCAGGCGTTTGAAGGAGGGGGAAGGAAGAGCCCAAGGGAGAGCAGTAGCCCTGGAACCGCTCTGTAAAAACCTATGATTATAAAATACAGTGTGTAGATTAAGTGGGGTGCTACTCCTTTGATTTCTAGAGTCACATGGAACAGCCACCTGCATGTGTTATGCAACTGGACTTTCTAGGAAATAGAGTTTACCTGCAGATACATCCTTGAAGACATTCTTAAGTGCTGGCCAATAGCAGCTCTTTGCTCGCTCTAAAATGTCGGCAATCTTTTTGACTTGAGGTGCATAGAGCTGATAGGGAATAGCAAAAGCCAAATCAGAAAGCCTGTTGGTTTTCAGTATCACAATTGAGGTACTTGTAAATCTGAAATAAGCCTTCAGCCTACCTGCTCATTGATGCATTGCAGGTTTTCCTGCCGACTGTACCAGAAATCAAATTCAGCTTTGGGTAATGGGTGTAAACCATCCAGGAGAGGCTGGGCAGAATCTTTGCTCAAGATATCTCGGATCTGATGAGACCAGTCAATAATTATTGTTTCAATGGAGTGTAGCAGGGAACTGTCCACAGCTCCAGGTAGGCTGGAAAACACACGCGCACACACACGCACACACACACACACACACACAGAGGACAAAATAGTAAAATGGAAATAATCTTAACATTTGATTCAGTAGTTAACAAATCATATTTATAGCCTATAGGACATCATACAGTGGGATCTAGAACTCCTTTGTCCAGCATGCTTCCTGTTACAAAGCATGACATACTGAAGAACTATGTAAATAAAAATCTAAAACATTCTCCAATGAAGAACCAGATTATGGGTTTGGATTACATTTTGATTCTACATATAAGCACCCTCACAGAGGCATTCCATAAACATAATGCAAACTTTGGACTCATTTGATGATAGCTAGACAAGAGAGACAAAAAAGAGAGGAATGAATGGCCAGTGTGTGATTTCCTGAGCAGCTGAAGGAAACAAGGTGTTCTGGAGAGCAACATAGGGACTAATTGAATATGCCCACATATCGCCCAGATTGAGGTGATCATAATAATTGCCATTTGACAGTATATGTATTTGTTTCTTTGTAATTAAAATGAAAGAGTCCTGCAAATCCTCTCACACTGTCTACAAGATAACTGTAGGTGGCAGACATAATTAAAAGGCATCCACCTGTCAAACATGTCTGAGTTACTATCCAGGACTTCCATGTTCTCTGGCAAAGGGAGCAGTGTTTTTCCTTTGAACTTTCCTCCCATCACAAACATCTCATTTTTCAGCCTGTGAGCCTGTCGAATAACATCTTCAGCTACCACACGAGGCCATCCGGTTAGGTTTACACCTTTCAAGAACAAGGAGTAGGCAACCTATAGGAGAAGGATTATTTTATTAGAACATATACTACTGGTATAAAAAAAACTTTTGGATTCAAACCATTTTGGATTTGAAAACCCCCATTTTGGGCAGAAAATAGTTGTTTCAGGTTTGAAATAGTTATTTTCATGCTAGAAACACATTAGTCTGTTTTGATTATTTTGGAAGTCTTGACTTTGAAACAATTCTGTTTCAAGTTACAAAACTACATTGGAGCTCAAAAGTCTTCTGAAATTACCATAATATCCAGTTTTGAAAGCAAAGCAGCCATTCTGAAGTGAAACAACTATTTTGAGCTCAAAACACAGTGTTTTGAATTTGAAATTATTGCTTTACACACTCGTAGCAAATACCTCTGTTTCAATCATTACAGATAATGGCATCTAATCAAACTAAAATTGTTCTGTACAGATCCATTCTATTTGAAAACAGCCATGCCTGGAATTTCGTTACAGAATAGCAGCATTCATATAATCCCACTATTCTTGTAGAGGTTACACCAGAGCTATGGCAGTGACGTAGTAGTAATATGCACAATGCCAGCATAACAATAATGCTGTGTGAGCATCAATCTCTTCCCTCAGTATATTACTTTCTTCTACCTTGCCTATCTTAGGCAAGATAAGGAAGTTTCATTGTTAGGCTCAGTTAAACTGTTAACCCAGTCTGGAAATCTATGAAAAAGATCAGTTTAAAAGTTTGAATCAGGGAAAGTGATTACCAACATTAAAACACCTCTAGAGAAATACTGTATATGGAAAACTCTATAAAATTCTTTCTACCCCTTTTACCACTGATGGCCATAGGAGGGGTGTGTGTGTGTGTGTGTGGGTGTGGGTGTGCATGCATTTTCTCTTGTGGGACTAATCAGAGTGTGTGCACACATGGTGCTTGTATGTATCCATGAAGATCTAAATCAGGAGAGGTGCATGTGTGTTGCCTCTGTGTGAGAGTGTATTTGTGTTTCTGCTCTCTCTCATATTGTGGGAGTGAGGGATTTCTGGATGTACTAGAGTAGTAATTAGTGTAATGTAAAAGTGGTGGCGAGAGAAATGCTTTAGTAGCGCTTTTACCAATGCTCCTTATCGTTATTTCCTTTTACTGTCCACCAGCCACATATTATCTCAGCATATTCCTGTTCCAGCCTTTGCACGCTTTTGGTGAGAGAACCAAGCATATCTTAATGGTAGAGCACAGCCACATGCCAGGGTCTCTGTTTCAGTTCTGCACATCATCCCCATTTAAAAGGATGCGCAGATCTCCTGAGAGCTGCGGTTAATTCCAGTAGACAACGCTGAGCTAAATGAACAAATATTCTGACCAGCATAAGGCGCTTCTGATGCTGCCCATCATAGGTCAAAAGCAGCAAGATCAGTTACAAGGAGAAGCTTAAGTTACCTGGGTACCATGACATTAATGTCGTTTCTCCAGATACTTCACAGAGAAAATTAGTGTCTCTTTCAAGCAACATGGAATAATACTTCATAACTCTACCTATTAGATTCATAAATAAGGAAAACATCTGGGATGAATGTAAACATCGCAGACTTTTCTGGGAATACTCCAGTATAGACATACCTGAGGGCTCAGCCATTTCTTTAAGCAGCAGGTACCATTGTGCCATTGCACACAGTGTCACAGACACCAGAGAGAGATGTTATTTTTTTTAAATAAGAATAAATAAAAGTGCCCAGAATCTGCTAGGTGTAATTTATTATATTTCAATCTTAGCTCTTTCTCCAAAGAGAACCAAATAAATATTCTGTCCTCACAATATTGTAGGTCTAGGTTAGGATTAGGATTAAGATTAGGGAAATGAATTTTCCATTTCCAGGACTGTAGCTACTGTATCATGTTGGCTTTGTACAACAGTGAAAAACAATAGCTTTAATCATAACATTGTAGCATCTTTGCTTCCATTTTCATGCAATACTGAGGACCCTGGTATAGTCCAAATGGTCTGGATTAACCAATATTTCTGTCACCTATCCATCTTGTTGAAGCCGGTCCTGCTGCTATAACACCAGCATCTCCTTATATTTGCTGAAAAGGGAAGCATTCTGTGGTGAACCACAAACCAAAACTGGAAGCCCACCTCTTCCACAATAGCCATCATCTGCTCTACTGGGGAAGGGCTGATATCTCCAATCAGGAGTGCATCCAGGAAGTTATCTTTGGTAATGTTTTCATGCTTCTTTTTCACAAAATAGACTGCTTTATTTTTCAGTGTTGATGGGAAGCCAAGGCAGGAGACTAGCTGTCCAGTAGGGTTGAGAGTAATCACCAACGCTGTCACATCTGGCTTCTCATAGAACTCATTGAGCATGGCATGAGTCTCTTCACTGGTTGAAAACTTCGACCATTTGTCAGGCTTAATATGAAGAGAGAGCGTGCAATAATTCTCTATGAAATCCAGCCGTTTATCAGCCATTGTTGTCATCTTGATTCCTCAGCAGCTAACCATGGAATGAACAAAACTGAGCAGATAACGAACTGGAAAGTCTCCTCTCCCAATGTTATTTCCTGTCTTGGGAAGAAAACATCCTTATTCAACACATTAAAGTATCCTCAATGCAACCTATCTGAAACTTATTTCTGGTCCATTACTTAGCTATATTATGGTATTAGTTAAAGTGGAGTATTTGTTGGGAAAGAACATTTAAGAGTAATTTGACATCAAGACTCATGATCACCATCACCATGGGATGAGCTAGATTGAACCCAAAGTAGCTTTTTGAATGCTGGCCCAGGAAAATAACTCTGGAAACTTGCAACTTCCTCTGATATGATCTGCTCAGAAAAGCTTTCTCACATTCATCATTTTGTGCTCTTTCTCCTGGTATAACCTGTAAATCAGAAATGGGCATATTGTAGCCCAGAATCTCATCTAGAGCCAGCCTCACCTTTATTTTATGACCTCCAAAGCACCTTAAATTTGGCAATTTTCAGCGGTGTAATTTTTATGATGTTTACAATTTTGTTTTCAAAATAAGGGTGAAAAAAAGATGTGTTATGCTTGTACAAGGCAAAATACAGCCATTTCCACTCTTAAACTTCCCATGCCACCCAAATAGGAGGGGGGTGTTTGCCTAAAATTTTTGATCCTATCTACCAGTAATACTCTATATCAGCAGCCATGTTTCCCACCCCCTGACCCTCACCCTTTAGAGACTAAGATAGGTAAGTAAGTAAGTAGAGACAGACAGACAGAGTGGAGATCTAATTCATATGTTCATTTTATGTCTTAGAAACAGATCATGTATTTTGTTAGCTTAAGTACTGAAAAGTTTATAGTTCAGGGCTGTGACCCCGGAATGGAGACAAATAACAGAAACCAGACAGCTATCCTTCCTTCCGAGTGTGAATGGAATGGAGTGAAAGGATATGGATACGATAACCCTAACCCTAATATTATCTGAAAGGATAGAACCTACTAGTGTGAAAAGTAACAGGGAGGTCATTCCATAGTTTATCTAAAGCAAACTCTAAGTTTTTCCTGCTTTGATTTATACGCATATTAATTCAATTTTTCTGTCCTGAACAGCATTTCTTTTGCTTGTTTATTCCTTCATATTTTTTTCTCCCTGGGGTCCTTGTGGGAGAATTTACAAAGGAACAAACTAAATATGATGTGGATGATACACAGAATATCTCTAAGAATTTTATTTTCTCTTTTATTTTTTAGCTGTGTAGTGATCTGAAACTGATGGTAGGGGACCAGGCACAATTAACTCTTTCCCAAAGGTATTTTTTTCCCTATTCAAAGTTGACTGCTCCCAATATTCCTTTCCACCTGCAAGAGAAAAAGATAAGAGTTTCTTGCTCCCATGGAAAGCAGGTTGGCAGTGTTGGAAAGGAATTATTAGAAAGTTAAACTAATACCATTTTAGAAGGAAATTTAGTGTTTTGCCATTATACAGAAATGAGAGAGTCACATAGGCAGATAAGGAAAGAATGAGGAGAAAGCGTTACACTCCTGGAAACAGAGATAAAGTGTACCAGTTAGAACAGTGAGAAATCAGGCTAGGTCTTATTTGGAAAATAAAACCTGAGGATTTTGTAATTAGGCATGTGCAAATTGGCTGTTTATACCTGACTATAAAAGGATGCTTCACCCTTTGTACAGGGCCCAGCTGCACTCAATGCTCAATGCTCAATGCTCTTGCTTTGTGTGCTAAATAAACATTTGAACTCTGAATCACGGTGTCTGGCATTTTGACCTGAGCAAGGAATGAACCATTGGGAAGAAATTCTTCCAACAGCAGGGCAGTTGTGTGTGGGAGAAGGAAAGAGTTAAGTAACTCTTCTTCCAGAGCCATTCCAATGTTACTTGTTCCAGCAAGAGTCAGTATGGATTTAAAATAGGTGAATTATAATTTGCTAACTTTTCCCATGTATCTGAATAGTCAATGCATGAAGTTTGGACTCCATCAGCCAAACCGTTCCTTGTTCTTTGACTATCATTTCTTGTATGAGAACTAAAAGCTGAACAACAGGCATTGTTTGAATTTCCGTCAGCCCTACCTAGCATGGCCAATGGGAGGACATTAGGAATTGCCAGTTTGGAGGGCCACACATTGCTAGCCGCTGCTTTAGGGGAATCAAGATACTCACAAAAGGTGCCTCACATCCACAAGCAAACAGAACTAAGGATTCTACAACGTTTTCCTTACCTAATAGGCTTGGAGGCATCCAGTTGAAAACCCCCAACTGCCAAGGAACATTGCTTCCAAAGAGAAGTCTTGTGACATCATTTATCAACTGTCACACCTGCTAGAACCTTCTACCACATATATTCCCTCAGTGGCACTGAACATGGTGAAATGGAAAGCTCCCCTTTTTTTTTAGAGTACACCTCTTCACCTGTTATGACTTGATCAAAGCACAAGGGGCTTTAATTCTAAGGTGGATATAATACTTTTGCATTTAGAATTCATTTTGTGGGAATCCATAGCTGTCTGCATGTGTCTATTGTAGGTTTTAAACACCCTACTGAGATGATATCTTGTTTCTTACTGCTTCCTAAAGCAGTATAACAATGTTCACAAATGTTCTAGCCCTGCCTTAGGCACAAAGCCAGCTGGGTGGCCTTAAGCCAGTCACTTTCTCTCAGCCCTAGGAAGTAGGCAATGGCAAACTACTTCCAAAGGACCTTGCTAAGAAAACTGCAGGGGCTAGTCTGTCCAGTCACTACGAGTCAAAAACTGACTCAAAGGTGCACACACATACTGTATGCTAAGTTTCCATATGAACCAAGTCATGCCCTTTCCATGAAATAAATGTCAAAATCATACTCTGCAGACCAGTGTGTGAATTTTAGTTTCAGCGGCCAGCCACCTTACAAACATCCATACAGCTCTCTTGTGTTTGCTTCCATGCTATCACATACATGGGAGCTTCCACAATTATAAGAAAGAGAGAAAAATAACCATGTGTTGTCGAAGGCTTTCACAGCCGGAATAC